ATTACGACGATTGACTGGTACTAGCAACTTACTATGCAAACCAAAACTGGGGAACTTCAGCGATGTTCGAGGCAGTTACGTTTGATTCTCTGGTTTTCTCTGTGAGGCAACTCTCGACTCGTCATGCGCTTAAAAACCGCGACCAATAGCTACTTCGTTTCTGCTGAATCTGCTATCATCGCATTGGAGTCAAATTCAGGGGGAGTTTCTTGTGATACGTTGGAAATAGGGATCAAAACCCATTCGTAAATGGGCTTTGAATGGGCGTGAAAATTTATCACGGAATTTTCTGGCGACTTGGTGTCTGTTCAAAATTCCCCGCATCACACAGGTCGTCTGCTGAAAGTCCCTCGAATTTCTCAGCGATGTTCCATTCCTTTGTGGAAGCTTCTTCCTTTTTTTTATTGGAATCATTGTCTTTTCATCAGAAGCGAAGAACTACGAGGCTTACAAAGAGGCGGCTCGAGAATTGGATAAAAGCGTGTCGTGGATCGAGAAGTGGAAGAATACGAATGATAGTGTCGGATATTCATCGTTGTGCATCAAGTCACATGGTACTCTTTCTAGTAGTAGTCGAGGAATAGCTGCTTATCGTCTTTAGGCGAGGAGCTACGATGTGCCAAGTCGTTGGAGCATAAGTTGGCGTTGTTGAGGCAAATCCTCGTGACGGGATTCGCGGGCATTGGAACGGACGAGTATTTGTTCTCGAAGAGTTTCCTTGGTAGGCGGAGCGAAGCGTTTCAGATTGTCCATTTTTGTGAGAGTCATGGTTATTCTACAGTTGTATAATTACATTAGTATTCCTGGTATCTGATCAGTGAACTTACATTATGTCGTGGAAAAATGGTACGTTCGTGAGCGATGAGTTGGAATTGAAGTTCGCCTCGACGGAAAAAATCACCCACTTTGTTAATCGCTCAGGTACAAAGAAATGCATCACAGATTTCTACGAATCAGTAGTTGATACTATTGACGAAGTGACGGCACATTTGGAGACGGTCACTTCGAGGAAGAATGACTCGATAGAAAAGCATCTATTCTCGGAGTTTCTAAACGATATTATGTACAAAGGTATCCGGTTCGATCCCGGCATGTTGCATTTTTAGGCTAACCTTTGGTCAGCCTGCTTTGTGTCTTTCTGGTGGGGGAATGATGGCGTTGATGCACTTCGGAATAGTGGAGACTATGATAGAGCAGGGGTGTCTTCCGAAAGTTATCTGTGGTAAGTTACATCGAAATGGTGAGGAGCTACTCTATGAATACGTGTGGGGTGAGGGTCACTAGATCTGTTGTGAGTTCTAAGACCGCTCCCGAGATCGAGTCTAGTGGTATCGAATGTAAGGTCTAGTGAACACGCCGATCCTATATTCTAGATATAATGGAGCTTTACCACCCTAGTGATATGAAAAACATATTTTACGACTACCACAGGTCGCGAATATCGCGTTTTTCACCGAAGTTACGCCGCTTCACGTAAAACGGGTTGTGAAACTCCAATATTTAATTTCAGTACCAGAGCTTGGCTGCTCGTTTCGGAGCAGCTGTTGAGTTTGCAGCCATACTCCTATCAGGAGAGTGCTGCTTTTGAAAAAATATTTACTAGTTTCACCGGTTCAAGAGGGTTTGTGAGCAGCGAATAACGCGTAAAACACGTGATGTGTTTCACGTGATTTACTCGGTGTAATTCGTGAAGTATCATCATATCGTCAATATCGCGTTTCTCACTTGGAGTACTATGCTACTTCACGTAAAACGGGTGAAACTCAATCATCCGTCTATGAATATTAGAGGAATTATGGAGTTTCACCCCCTTTTTTCGACGCATTCACCAGCCTGTGTGAGAGGAATCCGGTTATGGAGAACCTTAAGAGATGTGGCCCTCAGAAGGATACTGCGGGATTCGCACGACCATACCCACTAAAACCCCCACAGGCTGCTGGGCCCAAAAGGCAACACGTCAGTTTCAAGCCTGCTGCCAGTTTCGAGCTACCAAGCGTGCTACCGATAGTTTCACCCAGGCGTGATACTAAAAAAATACTATTCCACGACTACTGCATATCACCGCGAGTATCGCGTTTTTCACTTCACGTGAAACGGGTTGTTGTGAAACTCCAATGTTCGAATACCCGAATATAAGTATGGTACTGTATAGTTTTCAAGGATCGACGGACCCGTGTGAAGTAATGTTTCCACAGGTACCAGTGGAGGCTCTGTAGTGGCATCATATTTGTGTACTCACACTGATGATGAGTTACCAAGGATCGTGAAGCCGGAAGTAGTTCAACCGAAATGGAGTCCCTGTGGTGACAGTTGGTGGACTTGTATTAAGAGGTGTTAAGGGCAAATCGATCACGTGATCGATTATAGTATCAGGTTCTCACGTACTGGATATATGTTCGACCCCTTGCCTTGGCACAATCTTCTCGCTGATTTGCTGGGGTAAAAATTCCGATCACAGATAGAGTAACATCGTTCTGAGTCA